TATTCATTGACTCATTTTGTTTATCTGGAGTATTACTACGCGCCCTAGATAATGAATCAGCTGTCTTTTGTTTTGAAATGTTCGAATGGTTCATTACATCGTCCCAGTCTGGGAAACGATCCAGTACAACATCCCCATCACGAATAACTATTACTATTTACTATTACTATTTATACTAATTACTATTATAAACAAATATGACACTTTAATTCTTTAAATAATTATTTATTATCTTTTGATATACGTTAATGTTTTTAAAGGTGTAACAAACAATAAAGGCAGGTTACTTAATTTATAAAACAAACCACTCAAACTTCTGGGTTAATTACAATTATTCATTAGAAAACATTATCTTTTGATCTTTATTTAACTATACGTAAGTCATTGCGATATGGTTTTTGTTGGTTTTATTTTTCAGGAAAGTTTATGATACATCCCTGGTTCTTGTAAGATTTATATCCCGCATAATGAAAAATAATCAATCACTCCCACAAATTTTGCCTGTAAAAATCATTAAAAAAGTCACTCTTTTTTCATGTTTGTCACATCAACGCCAGATTTTTTTAAACGACAGAAAATCAAACAAAAAATAGAAAATGACAATAAGATTTTATATCCAGCAATGTCAGTATGTGTTTATATAAAAAGTTAAAATTTGATTTTCTTGAAAGCTTTTTGCCCTGGCATAAGAGAAACGCTTAAAATGAAAGGGACCGTTATGTAGAAGGCTCATTTTTAAAGTTTATTTCTATGTTTACATCTCTGCAAAAACAGTCCTAATATACAGCGTTAGAGCTAGCTATCCTGTAAAAATATCTGTATGGAAAAAATAAGACAAAATCAGGCATTAATCGCATTAATCATGTAACATATCACTTGAATTTTGAATCTTTTTTGCTTTCTCAATTTTTTTTCTCAAGTTTGATTTCTGTATTGAGATCTCTTTTCAAGAGATTGAAAACGTGATGATATATTTCATAATCCGTACTTGATGTGTCAAGACGTCCGGCAAGACGCCAGTGAAAGTACGGAAAATATGTTTCACTGCAGTGAAAAATAATTTTTAGTGAAAATACGGAAAATAAAAATACTCATTTTATTTAATCAATATTTCTCTGTATTTTATTTATTAGTATATAATAAATAGAGGATACCTATTCAAGTTTTATTTATCTATAAATTAAGGAATTATTTTATCGAGTGGTATAAAAATAAATATTTTACGAGTGTTGGTAATTTTCATATCACAATTTAGATGAAAAGAAATCCTGTATTCATTGAAAAGAACTTGAATTTTCTGTTTATTATCAATTTTTCTCTTTTTTTGACCTAACAGTTCTCAAATATCATGAAATATGCAAAAACAGTCCTAATGTACAGCGTTAGAGCTAGCTATGCTGTAAAATATCTGTATGATGAAAAAATAAGACAAAATCAGGCAATAATCGCATTTATCATGTAACATATCACTTGAATTTGGATCTTTTTGCTTTTCTTAATTTTTTTTTTCTCAAGTTTGATTTCTGTGTTGAGACCTCTTTTCAAGAGATTGATGAAAACGTGATGATATAGAGGATATTTGTTTAGTTCTGTGTAAGATCGGAATATATTTCACCGAGTGAGCACCAAAAGGTATATTTCACGAGTGGCGCAGCCACGAGTGAAATATGAACTTTTGGTGTTCACAAGGTGAAATATATTCCGATCTTACACAGAACTAAACAAATTTTCTTTTTATTATATGCAAAGAAACGTTTTAAAAAGACATTAAACATAATACTGAATGAAAAGCGCGCCAAATGATTATACAACGTGACGTCATTTACAACGTCACGTCATTAAGTTGGTACCCAGTACTGTGCACGCTGGTATTTCACTGAAACAACGTAGGAGGCTTAAATTCAAAACAGTGAAATTATCAAAGTGGTAATTTCACTGTTTCAAACAGTGAAATTACAATTTTTATATCACTGTTATATTTCTATAAACCACCGAAAAGCATGAAATAAATATTTCATAATCCGTACTTGATGTGTCAAGACGTCCGGCAAGACGCCAGTGAAAGTACGGAAAATATGTTTCACTGCAGTGAAAAATAATTTTTAGTGAAAATACGGAAAATAAAAATACGCATTTTATTTAATCAATATTTCTCTGTATTTTATTTATTAGTATATAATAAATAGAGGATACCTATTCAAGTTTTATTTATTTCATGCTTTCCAGTGTTTAATTGTAATATATCAGATAATTATATTCTGATAAACCACTAGTGAAATTTACAAAATATAATTTTCACTGTAGCCGGACTATATCTGAATGCGGATGAAAAGAAAATCATAACTAAATGGAATATCAGGCAGAAATAAATGCCTTCATACGTAAATTTTGCTTCTTTAGGAAAAGAAAGTCGATGTCACCATACATCATGTTATAAATGTAACAAAATTAGAGAAATTTAACAGAACTATATTTCAAAATTGATGATGTGACGTCATGATGTGATGAAGTCAAAAAGGAGAATGCGCGACGTTACGCGGCAAAATCAGTAAAACAATACTTAAAATCACTTAAAAAGCATGAAATAAAAAGAAAATTTATTTGTTTTGCATATAAGATTGAAATATATTTCATTCGTGAACACCAGTTATTATATTTTCACTCGTGGCTAAGCCACTCGTGAAAATATTGCATCTGGTGTTCACTCAGTGAAATTATATTTCAATCTTACATGCAAAACAAACAAATATCCTCTATTTATCTATAAATTAAGGAATCATTTTTATCGAGTGGTATAAAAATAAATATTTTACGAATGTTGGTAATTTTCATATCACAATTAAGATGAAAAGAAATCCTGTATTTATTGAAAAGAACTTGAATTTTCTGTTTATTATCATTTTTTCTCTTTTTTGACCTAACAGTTCTCAAATATCATGAAATATGCAAAAACAGTCCTAATGTACAGCGTTAGAGCTAGCTATGCTGTAAAATATCTGTATGGTGAAAAAATGAGACAAAATCAGGCAATAATCGCATTTATCATGTAACATATCACTTGAATTTGGATCTTTTTGCTTTTCTTAAAATATTTTTATCAAGTTTGATTTTTCTAGAAATACTTTAGGTTATCTGGAGGCATGTGACTTCAAATGAGTCAGTATACTAAAATATGTGTTTATTGGACCATAGCCTTTGTAACAACATGCTCAATTTCCTGTTACCATGGCGATGGGGGACGTCTCATCATTGCCAAAAATCACTATTTTGTGTTTTTTTGTTTTTTTTTACATTCTTCAACATGTATGGACATCTACCCCCGAATCCAACTTCTTTTAATAATAAGATGTTCAAATAATAAAAATATCGATGGTACCTTTTTCAGATGCTCCGTTGCCATGTCACTTATTGTATCATATATTGATATACCATGCATTGTACACTCTTGTGTTGCTATATGTAACTAGAGTTAATAAAGTGTTGTTCTGTTCTGTTCTGTTCTGTTCTACAATCAAAACTGACTTCAAAGTGCTGCAACTTCTCAATGGATAGAGATAGAATATGATAAACAAGATCAACAACGAAAGGCGGCGTTCAATGAACGCATCCCCCATCTATGAGGATAATTTGTATGAGTGATATTATATTTCTGTAGAATGGTATTTTTATAGGAGAAAGCCTAATGCGTAAAGAATTATTGAAAATATTAGAGTTAATGGATCGTGGAATATAAAAAGAATTAACAGATGAAAAGTTTAAAGGCGAAAGAATGACGGATGGTGTTCGTCTAGGTGTACTGTGATTTCTAATCTGTAAAGAATTAGTAGACGTAGAATGTACCCGAAGATGGGAAAGAAAGTGTGTATTGTTCCTATTCAAGTTATTCATAATTAATTATGTGTAGTAATAAAATGATTCCGTGTCCAGTGGGGCACTAATATTAAAGTAACGAGACTAAAGTATTAGTGCCACAGTGTACACAGAACCTGCAAAAGGGTAAGATTAAAGAAAATTTGGGTATAAAAATATAATGAAGTGGAAATAAATATAAACCATTAGTCTATGAAAGCTGGACATGGAGGGGGCACCAATACTGAACGCCGAACAAGCCCTTGAGGATGAAAATATAACAACATTGTTTGCATGTACGGGGAGACCTTTTACTACAGTACCGCCACACGGCACAAACAACACGGTTGTGAGCATAAGATATGATAAACAAGATCAGCAAGGAAAAGCGGCGTTCAACGAACGCAGCCCCCGTAGAGTCAGAGTCTTTTAAGCTTGGTTACACGTTACCTTAAGATCGACCTGAGGCCATTTTTAGCCCCTCACAAGTCCAAAATTTTCTTTGCGATGAGGGAGGCTACTGCCCCCTGCACATCCCCTTCTGGCACCTCCTTGATGACCTTTTTGATAGGGGCGGCACCGAAAAAGTGATCACTCTTTTTAACAACATTTCTCAAACGAAAAACAGTGCTTTGGGCTGAAATAGGGCATTTTTCACTATTTGAGACCTCAAGGGGGGGGGGAGCCGTCAAAACACGCCTATGTGAGGTCAAAGGTTGATTATGGGTGTGTGACATTCTGAGGTCAATGGACGCTCTCCTCTTTGAAAAAGTACTTTAAAATATTACTGCTTTTTGTTGTTGTTTTTTTTTAACTATAACAAATCAAACTTTTTCAAAAAGCCCTACAACAACATTCAAATGATAAAAAAAATCATTTTCGTCCAATATTGTCTAGCAGTATCTATATGAACATAGGACCTAGTCATGTGTGATATTTCAGTGAAGTATATAAGAGATGCTAATCTCTGTTATATACATCTCTGAATTTCTACAGAAAATATTAACGTTTTTCCTAGAAAATTGTATAAAATACATTTTGTATGTATGTTGGGTCAGGTACGCATATTTATTTATACGTACCTGGTTGACACTGGTCAGTTCTTTTCGTACAATACAGTAGAAGCTCTTTTCGTTTATATGTATAAAATTAATCTTTTCGGTATTCATGCGTAGTAAAAATGGCCGCTCTCCACCGATTCCACAATCGGACTGGAGCATTAGTTTCGCTTAGTAATGACAACAGAACTGCGCAACGGAATCATCCTACACAGGAATTTAACAACGGTGTTGTTCTTAGTTCTGTACCATTAAAGGACGATCAAGTTCTAGAAGTTAAGATTGACAAAAAGGTATGACTTCCAAATTTATGCCAACATTTTTTTTTTTACTTTTTAACAGATCTTACACTTGCTTTTGCCAGTTGCTGTTTAGGTTAACTGATTACTAACCAATACCAATGAATAGGTCTAACACAAGAAAAATCAATGTGGTAGGCAAGCTTATCTTTTGATATATTAAATATACTTTAGTGTTGTAGGCAGAATACACATAAACAATTTCAGAACTAGATTTAGCAGACAACAGGCTATTCTTATAAGTAGTCAGTATTGCATCTAGAATTTCAATACGACTTTTCGAAAAAAATTCATTTATTTTACGTTCAGGCATTTTTGACAGCTATCGTCCGCTCAAAAACAGAAGTAGAAAAAATAAAGGATTAGATCTATACTGTGCTCCTCTTAGGTCACGGTACTTAACACTTTAAAACAGTAAAGAACACAAACAATAAACTCACACTACCAAAACTGTCATAAACTGTATCATTTAGTCATTTTTCTGCTATATGACACAAAGAAACAACAATATATTCAATCAAAATTAGTTTTAATTTGTCAGATGTAGACCGTGTGTGGACTATTTAGAAAACAGTATGTCATCATTTAACTCGCGGTAATGGTGTTTTATTTCAGTTTTTTCATGTTTCAGTTAAAATGTCTTTATGTTATTTTGCATAATTTTAAGTATTAAAAGTATATTTACATTGTAACTCAAAATTTATTTTTTCAACAAACAAGAACATTTAGAAAATGATGATTGTTTCAGACGTATGCAACAATTTAATGGACTAATGTTGTTTTTTGCAGAAGTTTGTAAAATGTTGCTCAGTTTTACATACAAATCTATAGATTTAAATTATTTTGCACAAAAACTTTGTTGTTAAGGTGTTTGAATTAAATATGTCAATTCTGACCAATTTTAACACTGGTCACATGAAAATATGCCATTACCGCGAGATAAGTATTGACGCGGAATTAGTGATGTTGAGTATACTACAAAACACACGGGAGATGACCTAGTCTGCTGCTACACGCAATTTAGTACATATTTTAGTCATAACCACGAGTGGCTGACGCATTCAAGATACGATGAAGCTAAACTGAATTAAGTTGAAAAGATTGTCAGATGCGCGACTTGGCATGCATTGACTTCATTAAAATGTGCAATCTCCATAAAAAATGCGCAAATCACGCGGCCTAGATGCAACACTGTGTAGTATTTCAAGTAAAGATAACGGGTTGCGTATCTCACTGTATAAATCGTATATAAAATGGTCTGACATACGGTAGGTTTAACAGTAAATTTGAATACTTTTGGAGTCAAAAGATATACTGTGATGAAGCTAAGATCCAAAACTTTCTATTGGTGAAATACATTTTAAAATCGAACATTTAAACGCAGCAAACTAGGGGTTTAAAAACAGCTTGTTTTGTTTTAGCATAAGCGGTATTTTACTTGACAGATAAGGGAAGCAACTTGTATTTTTCACTGGATATACCTCGGTTATTTACGTAGACATAGTTTTAAAGGTGTCATTCTGTATTATATGCACTGCTTCCCTTTTCACTCTGAATACTCAACAATTATTTTTTATCCGAAAAGTTGCGATTGTCCATTAAAGGAATATCCCTCCTATTATCATTGAATTACATTGAAAATAGCGCCGCCTGACTAGAACTGACACTGAAAATTTCATTGATAGGTATAGAATTCTATGTATTGTTTTTTTAATTGATTTTCTTTAAAATATACACATAGTAGTTTGTAGCCGGGCAAGCCAAAGCCCGGGCCCGCTTCACGGACCCAGCCTTTGACTTCCCCGTAATATTTTGGTGATACTAACTTCTCTTTGATCTCAGCTAAATCGGGTAGACAAGCATTATACAAGAGGCAACCAACATCATAATTATTTTATTATGAAAGCAACAGGTTCACTAATGGAAAATTGACTTGTGCGCAGATTTTACCTTAAGTCAATTTATGCATGTATTTCCTAATTTTCCTGAGGCAAGAGTGAAGACTTTGGTTCCTGTTTCTATTGAGAGCCTTGATGAAATATATATAAAGGTACATTATATAGATAATCTAGCTCCTTTGTCTGCAATCTTATTCTTAACCCTTGATAAAATGTACAGCCTAAATAGAACTTAAACCTGCAACCTGTGCAGTATATTTCTATAGCTCTACAGAATCAGTTACCTGGTACTTGAATATCCTGAAGTGAACATAAGCCTTTGAAGAGTCACAGCCCAACTAATGAACTTTAAATAATGTTTAATATCATGAAATATCTTTTGAGACATTGTGCAACACAATTGATACTTGAACCCAGAAATTATATCACTTTGTTTACAGTAGGGGTTTATATTTAAATTATATGATGTGATTTATCATGGTTTAGAGTTTCTTTTCTGCAAATGTTTCAGGTAAAATTCCTGGAGTGGGTCTATAGAGATAGGAGTAACAACATGTGATCCAGACAATCTTAACTTTCCTATAAGTGCAACAGGCTTTCGTGATGGAACTTGGGTTATGTCCGGTAGCTCAGTCCTCAAGGATGGTCACTCAATGATTGAGGGAATATGGATGTGATCTTGACCAGTTGTCTGAGGGGGATGGTTGTTGGGGTTATGCGCTCTTCAAATGGAGAGTTACATTTTTTCGTTAACGGTGTTGACCAGGGTACAGCTGCCACTGATATCCCAGGTGGTGTTTATGCTGTGATAGACATGTATGGCAAGTGTGCCCAAGTGTCTATCATAGAATCTACAGATAACAGAGTTAGTGGTAAGAGATTGTGATAGATTTTGTATTATATGAGCCGTGCCATGACAGAACTAACATAATGGGTTTGGGACCAGCATGCTGTTTGCTTACAAACCCTATAGCAAGTACAGAAACTGATAATGAACAGCATGGATCCTGATCAGACTGAGCGGATCCATGCTGGTCGCAAACACACTAATTTGGTTTTGTCATGACGCGGCTCATTTTGTTTTTTGTTAGTATACCAAAAGATTTGAAGTTTTAAAGAAGATCTATTTGAATTTTAAAAGTAAAAAAAAAGGATAATTAAAGCAGTACATGATCTGAATCGGATGTTAAGCCATGTAGATTTACATATAAGTTTAATGTAAAAGACATTCTTTTTTTTAAGCAGATGATATCAAAATATTAATCTGACATCCTCAAAAGAAAAGTTGACAAATTTTCTGATTGTATTCCAAATCAATATACATGCATAATGTTTAAAATCTGTACAAAGTTGTCAGTTTGGAAACATACATTCAACTTTTATTGTTATTTACTCATAAGTGATTAATGTAAGTTGCAAGAACTTCGCAATCGAGCTGATATAAATATGTTTAAACCAACTTTGATTATTGAAGTCAATAATTGTTTTCTCAGTTGCGGCACCAAACTCAACCCCAAGCGAAGTTGCCCATCAACTTGCCAATGAATTTCTTGCCCAGTTATCAAGTCAGATAGTAAATGACCTCACTCGTACCACTGAAGCGTTGAATCTGGCAGAGGATACCTTACACTCAAATGAGAGACTCACATTTCATGAGCGCTGCGGCAGCCTAGTAAAGTTGAGCAATGGCAGGAGGACTGGAGAGAGACGGAGGCCCCTGGATGAGTTTAATAATGGTGTGGTGATGACAAATAGACCTCTGAAAGATGATGAGTTATTTGAGGTACTAAATCTAAAAGTCTGTTTGTACCACTGAATCAGAACATGTAGTTAAGCGCATATATTGTTTTTAAGCCAGTCTGTTTTTCATTCTCTTTGCAGATCACTATAATCTTTGCCATAGCATATTAGATGCACCATTCATATGTGGACATTGATCAACAGTATTGTTACAACATAATGAAATTATCCTTGACCTCTTTAGGACTATTAAGCTTAAGATTTTCTAGATTTTTTTGTGTCAGATGGGAATATGAGTATTAAGTTTTAACTAGATTTTTACATTTTGACATTAATATTTTTGATGTCACTCACTTAAGCAGCATGCCTCTAGATTCATGCTAATATTCATGACAATTTCGAAAATGTATTAAAAAGTTAAATATTGTCAAGTGAACAAAGAAAGTAATTGCACATTGCAAACAGCACTTTCAATCCACGTAAATTACCAAATGAAGGTCAAAATATGAAAAAAAATACACCTTACTCTGTTAGTCATGCAGTAAAAATATGATGATAAATACTGCAAAATTAGTCATTTGTTGCATTCACACATGTAAGTCATTACTTGAATTGTGAATATTTTTACTTTTCTTAAAATTTTGGTACATTTTTCTCAATGTTGATTTTCTAAAATAAAACTTTGGCTCATCTGGAAGCATGCAGAATTGATGCATTTAACAATTTCTGTGATGTAACATACATAACTAAATATTATAATTTCAGATTCGTCTAGATCGTTTGGTAGACAAATGGTCTGGCTCTATTGAGGTTGGAATCACAACACATAATCCTAGTGCAATAGATTTCCCTGCTACCATGACAAATATGAGATCTGGTAAGTTTTATAATGAAGGTTTTGAGAATTGATCATTTCCATTATATAACTAGTAATGTTATTACTTATGTATTATCAAACCACTTGCCCCTTATTGCTGTGGGTTCATATCCCGATAGGGACTTTGGATCCTTTCATGTGTGGAGCTGTCAAGGCTGGAAGGATGCCATATAACCTGGTATATTATTATGATTATATTATTTTCAGGTACGAACTATTATGATGAGTTGTGTGGTATAATGGTTATGATTATTATTATTTATTCAGTACGAGTGGGTTTGGTATATATTATTATGAGTATATTATTATTATTACGATGAGTGGTGTGGGATATTATTATGATTATTATTTATTCAGGGACTATATGATGAGTGGTTGTGGTATATTGTTATGATTTTAGTTCAGGGACTATTATGATGAGTGGCCCTGTGGGTGTGGGATATTATTATGATTATTATTATTCAGGGACTATTATGATGAGTGGTGTGGGTATATTGCTATGATTATTATTCAGGGACTATTATGCATGAGTGGCCCTGTGGGTGTGGGATATTATTATGATTATTATTATTCAGGGACTATTATGATGAGTGGTGTGGTATATTGTTATGATTATTATTCAGGGACTATTATGATGAGTGGCCCTGTGGGTGTGGGATATTATTATGATTATTATTATTCAGGTACTATTATAATGAGTGGGTGTGGTATATTATTTATGATTATTATTATTCAGGTACTATTATGATGAGTGCCCTGTGGGTGTGGGATATTATTATGATTATTATTATTCAGGAACTATTATGATGAATGGGTGTGGTATATTGTTATGATTATTATTCAGGGACTATTATGATGAGTGGCCCTGTGGGTGTGGGATATTATTATGATTATTATTATTCAGGTACTATTATGATGAATGGGTGTGGAATATTGTTATGATTATTATTCAGGGACTATTATGATGAGTGGCCCTGTGGGTGTGGGATATTATTATGATTATTATGCTCCCCGAAAAATTTCGGGGGAGCATATAGTCGTCAGGTTGTCCGTCCGTCCGTCCGTACGAACATACCAACGTACGTACGTACGTACGTCCCGAATTCGTGTCCGGCCCATAACATTGTTATTTGAAGTCGGATTTTAAAATTATTTCACAGAAATGATCACCATATTGAGACGACGTGTCGCGCTCATCATTTGGGTCGCTACCTTGAAGGTCAAGGTCACAGCATGACCTTGCAGCAAAATCGTGTCCGGTCCATAACTTCATTATTTGAAGTCGGATTTTAAAAATATTTCATAGAAATGATCACCATATTGAGACGACGTGTTGCGCGCAACATTTGGGTCGCTACCTTGAAGGTCAAGGTCACAGCATGACCTTGCAGCAAAATTGTGTCCGGTCCATGTCTTTGTTATTTGAAGTCGGATTTTAAAATTATTTCACAGAAATGATCACCATATTGAGACGACGTGTCGCGCTCATCATTTGGGTAGCTACCTTGAAGGTCAAGGTCACAGCATGACCTTGCAGCAAAATCGTGTCCGGTCCATAACTTCATTATTTGAAGTCGGATTTTAAAAATATTTCACAGAAATGATCACATATTGAGACGACGTGTCGCATGTAACATTTGGGTCACTACCTTGAAGGTCAAGGTTACAGCATGACCTTGCAGCAAAATAATGTCAGGCGCATAACTAAGGGTGTAACGGTTTACCGGTATACCGATATATTGCAATATGAAAAAATAAATTTCGAACCGCGGTACAATTTTTGGAAAACCGGTATTTTATAAAAATCATCATTTTCAATTAATTGCCTTCTAATTTTGTACAAATTTCACATAAAATCTTTAATTGGCAAATTTTGTTGGCGCCAACGTAAGATAAAAGTATCCGACAACTAGTACACTTAAAAGTCAATAAGCGGCCGCATAATTTACATAAGCGGCCCATATGTGAAAGGTCACACGCGACTAGTTTTGTTTATCAAATTGTGTGACACTACTTTCTATTTATTCCTTACATTTTTATTAAGTTTCTACTAAAAATATATACATATAATAATAATATATAAATGTTACTCCATCTTTACATCAAAACATATACACGACAATACGTATTGCAATATATTGCAATACGCTTCAGCAAAATGGCAATATATTGCAATACGGTTTTTGCTGTATTGTTACACCCCTACGCATAAATGCGTTATTTGAAGTCAGATTTTACAACTATTTCACAAAAATGATCACCATATTGAGACAATGTGTCATGCACAATACTTGGGTTGTTTTTACACTTTGAACTTTGTCTGTGACATAACTCTGACACAACAAGAGGTATACCTTCCTGTGTCCAAAACCTATTCGGGGAGCATCACCCGGTTCAACCGGCTCTTGTTATTATTCAGATACTTTTATGATGAATGGGTGTGGTATATTGTTATGATAATTATTCAGGGACTATTATGATGAGTGGCCCTGTGGGTGTGGGATATTATTACGATTATTATTATTCAGGTACTATTATGATGAATGGGTGTGGTATATTGTTATGATTATTATTCAGGGACTATTATGATAAGTGGCCCTGTGGGTGTGGGATATTATTAGCTCACCTGTCACAAAGTGACAGGGTGAGCTTTTGTGATCGCTTTTCGTCCGGCGTCCGTCCGTCCGTCGTCCGTCCGTCCGTAAACTTTTACTTTAAATGACATCTCCTCATAAACCACTAAGCCAATTTCATCCAAACTTCACAGGAATGTTCCTTTGGTGGTCACCTTTAAAAATTGTTCAAAGAATTTAATTCCATGCAGAACTCTGGTTGCCATGGCAACCGAAAGAAAAAACTTTAAATATCTCCTTTAAAAAACCATAAGAGCTAGAGCTTAGATATTTGGCATGAAACATCTTCTAGTGAGTGTCTACCAAGTTTGTTCAAATAAAAGCCCTGGGGTCAAAATTGGCCCCGCCCCGGGGGGTCATTGATTTTCCCTATATGCATATAGTAAAAAATTAAAAAATCTTCTTTTAAAGAACCCAAAGAGCTAGAGATAAGATATTTAGCATGAAACATGTTCTAATGGGTGTCTACCAAGTTTGTTCAAATAAAAGCCCTGGGTCAAAATTGGCCCCGCCCCGGGGGGGGGGGGGGGGGGTTATTGATTTTCCTATATGCATATAGTAAAAACTTAAAAAATCTTCTTTTAAAGAACTCAAAGAGCTATGGCTAAGATATTGAGCATCAAACATGTTCTAATAGGTGTCTACCAAGTTTGTTCAAATAAAAGCCCTGGGGTCAAAATTGGCCCCGCCCCAGGGGCATTGATTTTCCCTATGTGCATATAGTAAAAACTTAAAAAATCTTCTTTTAAAGAACCAAAAGAGTTAGAGCTAAGATATTTAGCATGAAACATGTTCTAATAAGTGTCTTCCAAGTTTGTCCAAATAAAAGCCCTGGGGTCAAAATTGGCCCCGCCCTGGGGGTCATTGATTTTCCCTATATGCATATAGTAAAAACTTAAAAAATCTTCTTTTAAAGAACTCAAAGAGCTATGGCTAAGATATTAAGCATGAAACATGTTCTAATAGGTGTCTACCAAGTTTGTTCAAGTAAAAGACCAGGGGTCAAAATTGGCCCCGCCCCGGGGGTCATTGATTTTCTTTATATGTGTATAGCAAAAACTTAAAATCTTTGGAAAAACCCAAATAGCTAGAGTTTAGATATTAAGCATGAAACATCTTCTAGTAAGTGTCTACAAAGTTTGTTCAAATAAAAGCCCTGGGGTCAAAACTGGCCTGGCCCCAGGGGTGTCATTGTTTTTAACTATATGTGTATAGTAAAAACTTTTAAAAAAATCTTCTTTTAAAAAGCCCAATGAGCTAGAGCTTAGATGTTTAGCATGAAACATCTTCTTATGGGTGTCTACCAAGTTTGTGCAAATAAAAGCCCTTGGGTTAAATTGGCCCTGCAACGTTTGGGGGGGGGGGGGGGGGGGTTGGTGGGGCCTATATACAGGTGAGCGACCTCAGGGCCATCATGGCCCTCTTGTTATGATTGTTATTATTCAGGTACTATAATGATGAGTGGTGTGGTATATTATTATGATTATTATGCTCCCCGAAAAATTTTGGGGGAGCATATAGTCGTCTGGTTGTCCGTCCGTCCGTCCGTACAAACATACGTACGTACGTACGTCCCGAATTCGTGTCCGGCCCATAACATTTTTATTTGAAGTCGGATTTTAAAATTATTTCACAGAAATGATCACCATATTGAGACGACGTGTCGCGCGAATCATTTGGGTCGCTACCTTGAAGGTCAAGGTCACAGCATGACCTTGCAGCAAAATTGTGTCCGGTCCATAACTTCATTATTTGAAGTCGGATTTTAAAAATATTTCACAGAAATGATCACCATATTGAGACGACGTGTCGCGGGCAACATTTGGGTGGCTACCTTGAAGCTCAAGGTCACAGCATGACCTTGCAGCAAAATCCTGTCCGGTCCATATCTTTGTTATTTGAAGTCAGATTTTAAAATTATTTCACAGAAATGATCACCATATTGAGACAACGTGTCGAGCGCATCATTTTGGTCGCTACCTTGAAGGTCAAGGTCACAGCATGACCTTGCAGCAAAATCGTGTCCGGTCCATAACTTCATTATTTGAAGTCGGATTTTAAAAATATTTCACAGAAATGATCACCAAATTGAGACGACATGTCGCGCGCAACATTTGGGCCGCTACCTTGAAGGTCAAGGTCACAGCATGACCTTGCGGAAAATCGTGTCCGGTCTATATCTTTGTTATTTGAAGTCGGATTTTAAAAATATTTCACAGAAATGATCACCATATTGAGACGACGTGTCGCGAGCATTATTTGGGTCGCTACCTTGAAGGTCAAGGTCACAGCATGACCTTGCAGCAAAAGCGTGTCCGGTCCATAACTTCATTATTTGAAGTCGGATTTTAAAAATATTTCACAGAAATGATCACCATATTGAGACGACGTGTCGCCCGCAAAATTTGGGTTGCTACCTTGAAGGTCAAGGTCACAGCATGACCTTGCAGCAAAATTGTGTCCAGTCCATAACTTTGTTATTTGAAGACGGATTTAAAAAATATTCCACAGAAATGATCACCATATTGAGACGATGTGTCGCGCGCATCATTTGGGTCACTTCCTTGAAGGTCAAGGTCACAGCATGACCTTGCAGCAAAATCGTGTCCGGCCCATAACTTCGCTATTTGAAGTTGGATTTAAAAAGTATTTCACAGAAATGATCATCATATTAAGATGACGTGTCATGCACAATATTTAAGTCGCTACCTTGAAGGTCAATGTCACAGCATGACCTTGCAGCAAAATCGTGTCCGGCCCATAACTTCCTTATTTGAAGTCGGATTTTAAAAATATTTCACAGAAATGATCACCATATTGAGACGACGTGTCGCCCGCAAAATTTGGGTTGCTACCTTGAAGGTCAAGGTCACAGCATGACCTTGCAGCAAAATTGGGTCCAGTCCATAACTGTTATTTGAAGACGGATTTAAAAAATATTCCACAGAAATGATCACCATATTGAGACGATGTGTCGCGCGCATCATTTGGGTCACTTCCTTGAAGGTCAAGGTCACAGCATGACCTTGCAGCAAAATCGTGTCCGGCCCATAACTTCGCTATTTGAAGTTGGATTTAAAAAGTATTTCACAGAAATGATCATCATATTAAGATGACGTGTCATGCACAATATTTAAGTCGCTACCTTGAAGGTCAAGGTCACAGCATGACCTTGCAGCAAAATCGTGTCCGGCCCATAACTTCCTTATTTGAAGTCGGATTTTAAAAATATTTCACAGAAATGATCACCATATTGAGACGACGTGTCGCCCGCAAAATTTGGGTTGCTACCTTGAAGGTCAAGGTCACAGCATGACCTTGCAGCAAAATTGTGTCCAGTCCATAACTTTGTTATTTGAAGACGGATTTAAAAAATATTCCACAGAAATGATCACCATCTTGAGACGATGTGTCGCGCGCATCATTTGGGTCACTTCCTTGAAGGTCAAGGTCACAGCATGACCTTGCAGCAAAATCGTGTCCGGCCCATAACTTCGCTATTTGAAGTTGGATTTAAAAAGTATTTCACAGAAATGATCATCATATTAAGATGATGTGTCATGCACAATATTTAAGTCGCTACCTTGAAGGTCAAGGTCACAGCATGACCTTGCAGCAAAATCGTGTCCGGCCCATAACTTCCTTATTTGAAGTCAGATTTTTAAACATTTCACAGAAATGATCACCATATAAAATGGCGTGTGTTGCGCAACATTTGGCTCGCTACCTTGAAGGTCAAGGTCTCAGGTACTATTATGATGAGTGGGTGTGGTATATTATTATGATTATTATTATTTAGGTACTATTATGATGAGTGGGTGTGGTATAATATTATGATTATTATTATTCAGGTACTATTATGATGAGTGGGTGTGGTATATTGACTAATGGTAAAGGAACAAGGAGGGAATATGGACAGTATAATTTAGATGCTCTAGCTGTAAGTATTTTTCATTTATTTCACTTGAAAGACTTGTATTGTAATAGTGTAAGGCACCTTATTATGAAGCACATATCCTTTAGTTGTTTTTGATTGACTCCCAAAAAGTTCCGTTGTTTTAATATCAGAGATGGATCCAGCTAGGAACAGTTTGTAATTTCAAACAGGTGCTTCATTGTGTATGAATTCATGCTCAAATGTGAAATTTTACTTTGATTTTAAATTAACAGAATAGAAACATGATCTTATTAATTTTTGAGTGTTCCTTGCTGTGGTCCCTTAAATATGAAATCAATAAAATTGCATGTTTAAAAAGACACCAAATAATGTATGATGTAAAAATGTACCAAAACTTTTAGTGCTAAAGATAATAAGACTTCCAAAAACAAACAAAAAAAAACAAAAAACTATATATTCTGAATTAAAGGTTGTAAATTTGATTTACTAACTTTACAGGAAGGAGATAGGATAGGTTTGATCAGAAAAAACAATGGAAGTCTGCACTACTTCATAAATGGTGTAGACCAGGGCATGGCATCTAACACATGTCCCCCTACAGTGTGGGGAGTGGTTGACCTATATGGTATGGCTGTAAAGGTGACAATTCTAGACCGTAATGATCCCAACTATAACCACATGGTGAATAGTCGTAGACCAGAGCGACAGAGGGTACCTAGACAGTTCACTGATCTATATGATGAAGAAAATAGTGCAGGTAATTTATGATTTGTAGGTTGCTGATGTTAGAACATTGTGTATTACCTGAATTAGTTACTTGTCTTATTAAATTAAATTTTTATGTTCTAACACACTTAATGCATTTTAAATACTTGTCTCAGAAGAAAAAGGTTGAAACAGCTATGCTTGTTAAAGGCTGTTTTTGATAAATAAAGTCATAGATGACAGGTTAGAACTTACATAAAGGGTGGACTGGCTTTTGTAGTTTTTGCTATGTACTGCAAGTGTATAGTTAGTTTGATCCATGTGAGAAAGCTAGCCAGCTAGCTTATGGAACATCGGTGGTCCTACTTAGGCACCAGTTTGTGCCTGAAATTATGTACAGAGAGGCACCTGAGGTCTTCCTCCACTAGTAAAGCTGGAAAGTCGCCATATGACATATACTGTGTTGGTGAGAAGTTGAACCCAATGAAAAATAAAACAATTAAATTCTATTATCCATTGATTATTTTGATAAAAGCTTGTCGCAGACTTGATTATGATGTCCTGTATAAGGATGTATGAGCATGCGTATAGAAGTTTGCTACTTTTTGTGAAAATTTAGATAGTGTTTAAAGTAAAATATGCCAAATGAATGAATAAAATTTAATTTAAGCTATCATAAGAGACAAAGATTTCCCAAAATAACATGTATCACAATATGCAAAATATGAAAAAAAGGAAAGAAATGAAAAAATAGCCATTGCACAAATATAGGGTAGAAGTGTGGTGTTTAAAATTTTGTATTTATATATAATTTGTATCATAGTTTGGGGACCTTTCTGTTGAAAAAGTGTCAGAGTTAAATCGTATACATATGCACAGTGCGGTAACTGGAGTGCAGGTATCAGTTACCCGCACTCCAGAAAATGCCAGTTGATTGGTTCACTTTTGCTGGGGTTTACATATTGTGACGGCAGAGAAAAGGAAAGGGGCAGAAATGTCATATTCAAATGCTCGTTCATTGGTTCATTTTTTCTGGGGTTTCGTATTATGACAACAAGGAACGTGTTGTCATGTTTGACTATGATACAAAAGAGAAAGAACACAAAAACACTCGGCAATCTGATTTGTACTCGAAGGCTACGCCCCCTCATACAAATCAGATAGCCTCGTGTTTCGGTGCTCTTTCTATTACTTGTATCATAGTTTGGAGACCTTTCTGTTGAAAATGTGTCAGGGTTAAATTGTATACATATACATGCACAGTGCGTTAACTGGAGTGCGGGTATTAGTTACCCGCACTCCAGAGCATGCCCATTGATTGGCTCATTTTTGCTGGGGTTTACATATTGTGACAGCAGAGAAAGGGAAAGCGACAGAAATGTCATATTCAGCTGTTCGTTCATTGGTTCATTTTTGCCAGGGTTTCATATTGTGACTACAGGGAACGTGCTTTTATGTTTGACTATGATACAAAAGAGAAAGAACATTCAAAACACTCGGCAATCTGATTAATACTCGGGGGCTACGCCCCCTAGTACAAATCACATAGCCTCGTGTTTCGGTGCTCTTTCTATTACATATATAATAATAAAACAAAAACAAATTCTAAAGTTGATCTGTGGAAATACTTTATTTAAGCAACTTAAAAATTTTTTTTACCCAAACTTATAATATTAAAATTTTGTTTTTTTCTTTAGACTTATTCTCTTCTTGAATATTGTCTAAGTCAAAAAATAATGTTCTTGAAATGTTATATAGCCAGTGATGTAAGAAACAGTATTAACTTGACAAGACTTTGTGTCAGACTTTGATAAGGTAATTTTCTTGAAGTGTTGATGTGAACAGAAATGCCTCAAAAGGCCTTACAACTTTGATTGCTGAAGTTCTGTATTATGTTATGATCATTGTAAAGAACTGGATATATTTGTGAACTTGATATATATCAGTGTTTTGTAAAAGTTTTACATTTGTCATTACAGAGGATGAAGTAGAGAGATTAAGTTTTCATACACGTTGTGGTACACATGCTAGTGTTGTAAATAGAGGCAGAACTGCACATAGGCCCAAGTAAGTGTGATTATATACAAACATTTGTAATGCTTTACTTGTAGTGTACAATTATTTATAGCGTCTATGTGGTCATATTGTTAAGCATAATGAATTTTGAAATTCTTACCCCACTTCCCCACTCCTTTGCTATTATTTAAGCAAAATGAATTTTGAAATTCTTACCCCACTCCCCCACTTCGTTGCTGTTATTTAAGCATAATGAATTTTGTAATTTTTGTCCGACTCACCCATTTTGTCGCTGTTATTTAAGCATAATGAATTTTGTAATTTTTGTCCGACTCACCCACTTCGTTGCTATTATTTAAGCATAATGAATTTTGTAATTTTTGTCCGACTCACCCACTTCGTTGCTGTTATTTCAATTCTTTCAAAGTACAACACTTGTGACATTGTAATGTTATTTAATAGGGACTCTTACATAGCTACCATTTTCTCATCAAAAGTAATGTACAGAGAAACATACCTGGGTTCAAACCCTGGCAGGCGGCAAATCATTATTTTCTTGAGCAAGAAACTTCACATTCATTTCTTAGTACTGGTTGTTTCCAGGAACTCATTCGTGAGAGTTTTAATAAGCTTATAGCTTCCAACACAATCAAACTAAAATAACTTCTGTATAAACTAATAGATAAGATAGATATGTTTAATTCATTCACAGTTTAGTTTTGATGATATAGAAAAATTTGATAAGATATTTATTTTGTGGTATTTTCAGTGCTCTTGATGACTTTAATAATGGTGTGGTACTAACTAACCGACATGTCAGACCAAATGAGATATTTGAAGTTTGTATTGATAAGATGGTTGACAAGTGGGCGGGGTCAATAGAAATAGGGCTGACCTTACATTCTCCAGAGAACCTCGAGTTTCCGTCAACCATGACAAATATAAGATCGGGGACTTGGATGATGACGGGGAATGGGGTCATGTATAATGGAACCACAGTGATGGATGATTATGGACAAAATTTAGACCGGCTTAAGGTTGGTGTCAGATACTTCATATTCTATGTTGGGGGTGGGTTGTAAATATACAAGACATAAAATTTAGAAGCATGAATGATGTATACCCATGCATGGCAAAATGGCAAAATGTGCAGAAAAACAATAGAAACTGTATGGTAACATTATGTTTTCGTATTCTAGTGTGGTCACATCTTAAAAAGATTTTATAGAAGGCATTTACATATTGCATATAAATATTACTACATGAGAATTGGTGAAAATGATTCTTTAAATTTAGCCACTTAGGTATAATTCCTACCAGGTATGACTCTAACAACATTACGAACAATGACACTGCCAATTACAGCCAGTTTCATATAGCTTTTTATCCTTTTATAAGTTTATATTGGATTTATATAATGTATTTTACTGGTTAATGGCTAAAATTGTTTTCAAAAAAGATTTTTTTTTTTCATGAAAATATTGTATATTTAAATACAGGCTGGTGATAGAGTTGGTGTTATAAGGAAGGAGACTGGTACGGTACATTTCTTTGTGAATGGTATAGACCAGGGTGCAGCAGCCAGTAATGTACCAGAGAATGTTTATGGAGTTATAGATCTATATGGACAGGCTGCTCAAGCCACCATCATTGACCAGTCAGGTAAGCTTACTTTCATTTAGTTTTTAACTCATCTTTTTGAAGAATAGGGTAGTAGTTGTACTCACCCTGACATCGGCTTCTCCGTCACACTTTAGTTAAAGTTTTGCTTGCATGTTTGTATCTCCAAAACTTCAGGGTTAAAGTGTATAAAGCTTAGTATCTGACTTCCCGAAGAATAAGATAGCAATTCTACTCACCATCATCAGCATCCCCCATAACACTTTGGTTAAGTTTTTGCATGCATGTTGATATCTCCAAAACAACAGAGTTAATGTTTATAAATTTATATATATGCTGTTAAATTATTGTTCAAATTTTATAAAAGAATACTTCCAAAATGATTGTATGAAAGAATTATTGTTGTATATTGACTTAAGTGCGAATGGCTTGTGAACTAAATCATTTAGAAACGTTTAAAACCCTTCTTAAATATAGCAGTATAATATTTTGTTTCTGGAACATTTTATTCTGTTTATGTAAATATTCATGTATATTAAAGAACAGAGAACTTCAATGTTCTCTCTAATATTATGGAAACAAAGTAATTTCACTGTTGAATTTTTTTTGTAAGATACAGGTTCATACCCTTGAAGTAATGTTTATATTGAATTGTATCTTGTAATTAAGGACTTTCTCTTTTTAGTGATATTTTACTTTCAATTTCTGTTAAAACAGTAAAAACAGACATGTTGAGACACAGATGTGATTACTTTTTATAGTAGTTCAAACATATAAACATGTTACTAATGCTTTTCTCCCCTATTGAAAGCTTAAATATGTACATGAAATGTGTGACCTTAATCTCAAGAGTAAATTATCAAAGGTTAAAATTTTGTGATAACTTTCAGGAGAATAAACTTTTACTAAAGGGCCACTATGTCTCAGAAATGCTCCATCAATTTTATTTCTCAAAAACCTTTAGTATATTGTTACAGTTTCCAAAGATGCCTATTAGCCATATTCATGAATCCTGCTACATTTGCTCTGTTGTTGGCTGTTGGTATAATTATAGTGAATCAGTATTTTGTTGGGCAGTGAAAATACTAGTTTGTTTAATGACACATTACTGCATGTTCCATGCTATTTTCTTAAGTTGTTAAACATCTAAAATGTTCTTGAACCATTATTAAAACATTATTTAACACATGTTTGACAAAACTTAAGAATTAGAAAAACTGAATTTCTCAGGCACAATGTGGCTTTAAGTCTGAATGGTTTAAATTTTATTATCTTTTACTTGTTTGATTTTAGATTCTTTAAGTATCCAAGACATGGATCTATCTAGTCTCACAGACACAGACATGCTGCTGTTTCACCAAATCCATGGTAGTAACTCGGCCATCATAAATGGGGGTCGCACGGCCGTACGTCCAAGTGCCACCGGGGAGTTTAATGATGCCATTGTGATGAGTAACCGTCCTTTGAGAGATAACGAGCTATTCGAAGTAATCATTGAAAAAATGGTGGATAGATGGTCGGGATCTATTGAAGCAGGTTTGTTATATTCAGGTGTGTTGTATGGTCAATTTTTTCGGTAAAAGGTGAAAGGTCTCTAGAAATATCTATATATAGCTCTTCTGCTTTGTCTTCTGGTTGTTTTTTTTTTTCATTTTTCATTGTCAGAGACAGACATTTTGGTTTGAACTTCATGTCTTTTTGAAAAACGAGCTTGTCAATTGTTAAGTATGAAGCTTAAAGTTAAATAAGATAAATATATATTAAATCAGACAGTGTAGCATATGGCTGGCTTTGTTATATAATTCATTTTCAACAGTAACTTTATAAAATTTATTTTGATAAAAAAAAATCCCAAGTATATATGGTTGCATGTTTATTTAAGGTGTAACTTTGATTAAACCTGAAGATCTGGAGTTCCCAAACACCATGACAGACATAGAGTATGATACTTGGATGTTAAGGTAAACCTTGTTCTTCTTATGATACAAGAACTATAACAAGAACAATAACACAATGGGGTTTTATGGTGCTATTGGGATATCAGAACCAACTGATGATTTTATTATATACTTATAAATGAAATATTGAGAAATATTGATGAAATAAAATGCGTATTTTCATTTTCCATATTTTCACTGTAAAAATTTACTTTTCACTGCAGTGAAACATATTTTCCGTATTTTCACTGGTGTTTTGCCGGACTACTTTTTAGCTCACCTGAGCATGCTCAGGGTGAGCTTTTAGGATCGATGATTGTCCGTTGTCCGTTCACATTTAGTTTTTTAACACTCTAGCGGTCGCATTTTTGCCTAAATCATCATCAAACTTGGTCAGGATGCTTATCTAGTTGATAGCTCGGATGAGTTTGATCATGGGTCATCTCGGATGAAAAACTAGGTCACAAGAGCTAAAAATAGAAAAACTTTGTTAACACTCTAGAGGTCTCATTTTTGCCTCAATCATTATCAAACTTGGTCAGGATGCTTATCTAGTTGATAGCTCGGATGAGTTTGAACATGGGTCATCTCGGATGAAAAAGTAGGTCACCGGAGCTAAAAATAGAAAAACCATGTTAACACTCTAGCGGTCACATTTTTGTCTCAATCATCATCAAACTTGGTCAGGATGCTTGTCTTGGTGATAGCTCAGATGAGTTTGATCATGGGTCATCTCGGATGAAAAACTAGGTCACAGGAGCTAAAAATAGAAAACCTTGTTAACACTTTAGCGGTCCCATTTTTGCATCAATCATCATCAAACTTTGTCAAGATGCTTCTCTAAGTGATAACTTGGATGAGTTTGAACATGGGTCATCCTGGATGAAAAACTAGGTCACCGGAGCTAAAAAAAGAAAAACCTTATAAACACTCTAGCAGTCACATTTTTGCCTCAATCATCATCAAACTTGGTCAGGATGCTTGTCTAGGTGATAGCTCGGATGAGTTTGAACATGGGTCATCTCGGATGAAAAAGTAGGTCACCGGAGCTAAAAATAGAAAAACCTTATTAACACTCCAGCGGTCACATTTTTGCCTCAATCATCATCAAACTTGGTCAGGATGCTTGTCTAGGTGATAGCTTGGATGACTTTGAACATGGGTCATCTCAAATGAAAAACTAGGTCACAGGAGCTAAAAATAGAAAAATCTTGTTAACACTCTAGTGGTCACAATTTTGACTCAATTGTCATCAAACTTGGTCAGGAAACTTGTCTAGGTCATTGCTGGGATTAAATCGAACATGGGTCATCTCGGATGAAAAACTAGGTCACAGGAGCTAAAAATAGAAAAATCTTGTTAACACTTTAGTGGCTACTGTTGTGATCCAAATATCCTGTAAATTGGTCTGAAAGTTTGTTTTGATGATTTCCAAGTCAAGTTCGAACATGGGTCATCTTGGATGAAAAACTAGGTCACACCGCCCAAATATGGAAAAACCTTGTTAACATTCTAGTGGTCACATTTTCGACTCAATTATCATCAAACTTGGTCAGGATGCTTGTCTAGGTAATTGCTTGGATGAGTTCGAAATCGCATGTGAAACTAGGTCACCGGAGCTAAAAATAGAAAAATCTTGTTAACACTCTAGTTGCTACTGTTTTGATCCAAGTATCCTGGAAATTGGTCTGAATTTTTGATTTGATGATTTCTAGGTCAAGTTTGAATATGGGTCACCTGGGTAAAAAACTAGGTCACACTGCTCAAATATGGATAATCCTTGATAAAACTGTAGTGGTCACATTTTTGACTCACCTGTCATGAGACTTGGTCAGAATGCTTGTCTAGGTAATTGTTTGGATGAGTTTGATAGGTCAGATGAGCGATCTAGGGCCATTATGGCCCTCTTGTTTTAAAATTCTGCCAGTACACAAAATTTAAGGGAAAGTCTTTCAAATTTTAATGTCAAAAAAGAGAAAAATGTATATAATAAACAGAAAATTCAAGTTTTTTTTATAAATACATGATTTATTTTCATCTTGTGGCATGAAAATTACCATATTTCACTCGTGGCTACCGCCACTCATGAAATATTTATTTTCATACCACTCGATGAAAATAAATCATGTATTTATAGAAAAAACTTGAATATCCTCTATGTATATAATCTTAACCTGAGAAAGGTAGTACCAAGAAATGAGAGGCATAAACATCATATAATAGTTGCAGATGATAATTTTCTCTTTAGAGGGTCTTTTTCTTTGAATTGTATTTTCTTTGGTTTCCTAATATTTGTCATTATAGATAGAAAAATAATATGAAAAGAATCAGTCTGAATTTTTGTTTGGTGTTAAGGGAAAGGGGTTTGAGAGATGAGTGGATGGGTTGAGATTGATTGAGCTGCCATAAGATACACTGATCCTAATGTTACAGTACTGATGATATTTTCTTAACATTTTTTCATGATTTTCATTAAAAACCTGTAAAATGGAATCATTTATTTTTCAAGACATTGAAATGTTTGCGTAGGCCTTTACATGACATACCTACTACCTAGTTCCATGTCTTTAGATTAGAAAAAGTTTTAATTGTGGTTAATGACTAAGATGTAAATGTAATTCAGATAAAAGAAGAATTTTAACAAAAAACAAAATGATACTATAGTATCAGTTGTTACTGCTTTGAACTTTATTAAAAATAACCTTTTTCAGAGTGACTAGATATAGATATTGTTATTTTAAGTCTGACTATTCAAAGAACTTGGAGAGCTATTGTACATACCCGACACTGTCACACTTAAGTTGAATGTTTGCCTGCAAGTTGGGTAGAAGAGAATTGGTTGAAACTTCACACATTTGCTCTCTGTCATTAACCTACATTATGGGCACATGTCCCATTACTCTATACAATCTTTTTTTTTACAGAGTTATGCCCCTTTTTTACTGTCAAGCACTGAGAATAGCAGAGCATGCTGTCTTACAGGCAGCTCTTGTTTTCTCCAATCCTTAAATAATGTTCACTAGTTGAAGATGACAGGTATTATCAGTTTTGTTTCATGTTTTACCTTTGTAACAGTGGTTCAGCCATAATGCAGGATGGGTCTACAATAAAGAATGGGTATCCTCTAGATCTGGATTCTGTAAGTGTAGGCTGTCGTATTGGCATGATGAGGTGCTCTGATGGTACTCTACATTACTTTCTGAATGGGACAGACCAAGGAGTAGCTTGCTATGATATCCCACCTGGTAAGTAAAATTTTTCACATGGTTATTACAATAATTGACCTTGTTAGTAAAATATTTCACCTGGTTAGTAAAATATATCACCTTGTTAGTAAAATATTTCACCTTGTTAGTATATAAATAACACATGGGTTTGTGGGTAACAGTAAAAATATCATCCCGAGGAAAATACTGTTACCCAAGGCGGTACTTACCTTTTAAGTTTTAAGTGTACTTTAGGCCTACTTGAGAAGTTTTCTTTTTCTTTTATTCTTTATGCAAGTGATAATATCTACAAATCATAAACATACAATGAGCTAGGTTTTATTTAGAAAACAAAACACTAACCCATTTACACGGTTATGATCTGTGAAATCTGATCCTTCTGTTTCCAGAATATTCTTAGCATGGTTTTTGACAAAATAACTATGATATCCTATGTCTGTTCACCATATCTGTAACGTTTCACTGATTAAAATTGTTAAATAATCCTTTGTTGCATGCTTAAATCGTCTGCATGTTCCAGTTTGACACATAATTATTTACATTGCAAGTACTTCTGTTGAAAACGGATGTTCACTTTTTGACTATTCAACAAAAAGATATTTTATACACGAAAAGCACACCAGGGTGCGAACAACTAAATTTTATGGGTGTCAAAGTTACTCCAGAGAAGAAATTGATGTCCTATCAGGGTTTAACGTTGAAAATAAGAATGAATCGAGAGAAAAATGGCGGCCATTTTATTTAGAAAATATACCACGTGACCAGATTTTATACTGTTAAAAAATACTGTTACCTATGTAACAGTACAAAATTCTTAGTCACGTGGTACACTTGCATTAACAGTAAAAAACTCCCAGAGGCCTATGGGAAATTAGCATTACGAAAAAAGTGAGGGGTTATAATAACATATATCACCTGGTTAGTAAAATACAGTCGAGACTGTCATATGTGACTTTCCAAGGGATCTTCAGAAAAAGGTCACATATGACAGGGAGTCTCTTAATACAGTCTCAAAGCAAATTTAACTTAAGTATCATCTAGCTGTCTATATACCATTGTGACTTAAAGATCCTTTATGTTTTGTGATTGATATTGTTACACAGTGTATAAAACACTTGCAAAAAAAATATATATGGATATAATTATGCAAATAAAACAACTTTCAAACATCAAAGAATATGTAAAATGTGTACTGAAAATATTTGTGCACATTATATTTAATCAATAAATTACATGCATTGATTACTTATTGGAAAATTTAACTTAGAATTTATAGAAAATAAAGTTCTAATTACCTCCCTTTAATGGCCTTTATTTATATTAAATGTTAAATTGGGTGATATCTTTATAAATAATGCTTATTTGAACTTACAATATTGACAAATCTTAATTTGAGCATCATATTTATGAAATAAAACCATGAAAAATTGTGTTACAGGATCTTTCAACATATCCATATCCAAAGCTTTTTCTGGTTTAGTATGAATTTTTTTCCCGTATTAATTATGCAGTCATAGAAAGGTAAATAAATAAATATGCTGCCTAAAAAATCTTCCGTGGGCACTCTATAATTAAAAAAAAATATAACACAAGTCTTAACCAGTTTACTCAGGCCATAATGTACATTACACACACATCGATTGCGTCATGCTTCCCATAAACAGACGCTACGTCACTTGATACCTGCATTTATACATGTTAACTGTGTAATTTGAGATAAAGGTGTGTAGACTTTGTTTGCTACTGATTATAATTGGACTTAATTATTTTGGCCCTCTGGGTGTTTATAATAGGTATTATTTATCTGATTTAACGTGAAAAAATTAAAAGGTGTTGAAGTCGTTTAAATCAGACCAAAACATGCATTGGGGACCTGACAAATTAGGGTCGCTTGTCACATATGACAGGGAGTCGTTTAATTCAGACCATTTTTATATAGGAAAAAATATTTTGGGAGTACTGAAAACAAGGTCGGGTAAGACAGGGAGTCGTTTAAATCAGGGGGTCGCTAGCAGTCTCGACTGTATATCACCTGGTTAGTAAAGTATTTGCAACCTGCGTTAGTAAAATATTGCACCTGGTTAGTAAAATATTCCACTTGGTAATGAAAATATTTACCTGGTTAGTAAAAATATTCTGCCTGGTTTTTAGTAAATTCCACCTGGTAGTTAAAATGAAACAACTGGTTAGTAAAAATATTCCACTTGGTATGAAAATATTTTACCCTGGTTAGTAAAATATTCTGCCTGGTTAGTAAAATATTCCACCTGGTTAGGTAAAATATTCCACCTGGTTAGTAACATGTTTCACCTGTTAGTAAAAATACTCAACCTAGTTAGTAAATATTTCAACTGGTTAATAGAATATTCCACCTGGTTAGTAAAAATATTCTACCTCCATAATAAATCAAAGCACAGAAGGAGCTGAATTTTGTTTGGGTCTCAGAATGTAAGAAAGGTGCAGGTTGTGAGATTATATGTTTAGTGCCACCAATGCTTTCCAGCGTTTTAATTGTAGTAAATTGGCTATTAGACTAATTGCAACACTGATATTCAATCCAATGTTTATTTGACTTTAACAATTTAAAAAAATGAGTAACCTTTACTGGGATTTGAACTCCAGACCTCTCGCTTCCTAAGCGAGCCCGAAAACCCTTCAGCCACGGTGAATTTATATGTGAACGGCCTGAAGAAAACCATATTATTCTAAATTAGGGCTTGTAACGACTTTAACTGTTGTTAAACACAGATGTAAATAATCCTGGAGCTTACTATAAGCATGTATATTTATAAAGAATCAAACGGCTGCAAGTTCTGTGGTATTTTCTGATCTTTTGCAATCGTACTGTATATCTGTATGCATTTTCCTGTATAAGTTTATTTTTATGTATTATAATTCCTTTTGTAAGGCACCAGAGTTTGATACATCCGTAATTCTGCATAACTAGAGTTGCATCAAAAAATCATTTATGTCCTTTTTTTACGACAGCCACACTTTATCTTTGTATATCATGGCTACTTCCTTAACAAAAACACTTAAAAAAAAGAATTTAACAAAAAAAAAAGTTTTCTCGACTTGGATACGAACTCGAGACCTCTCACTCACGAGGCGAGCGCGTTACCCTTGTACCACGGAAAAGTTATACACAGTGTGTCTGAATAATATCAAATCATTCTAAATTTGGAACTTCCATTGCAGTTCGGGTTTGTAATCCTTATTAATTTCGAGGTATTTTGTTTAGGCTAAACCTGTTGTTTATAATTGAAGTAGATATTTTAGCAAAAATCCTCTCGCCCAAACGGTCCGGCATGTAGAATCTATTATATTCCACTACTCGGTTTGTGTAGTATTCGGTAATCAACATGGCTAAAAATAGTATTTTCATTGATAAAAATCATATTCATCCGCGTAATTTGTGATTGTGCATTTATTGACAATTCTATAAGCCAACGCTATTGTTTAACTTTAAATGGGTTGTAATTTGTTGGATACTTGTAACAAAATAAAATATTTTCTTTCTTTTAAATCGCTAGTTTTTAGCTGTTTTGAGAACTACTTGTTGTTAGGTTTGTAGTAAACTTCTGTGTCAGAGATTGAATGTCCGCTTTGTATTTAGTTATTTTCGATCAGAAAATACAATAAAACAATATTAGAAATCTTTGACCATTCGGGAATTACTTTGCTTGAAAATTGATGCGCCTGTCTTTGACCATCTTTACGCAGTGATCTCCCCTGAATTTTTCGGCTTTAGTGTACATACAAAAGGGAAGTAACCGCTCCAAAAAATTGGACTACTTTCGACATTTGCAATTAGCAACATTAGACTCTGAAATTTCGCTACCATTATTTGTTTGGTCTGACGACCCAAACAAATAAAAATTAATATTCTGACTGGGTAGTGAATTATTCAACCTGGTTTGTAAATATTTCAGTGAGTTAGAAAAAATATTCCACTGAAGGATTAAATATTCCACATGTTTAGTAAAATATTCCACATACTAAGTAACATTCTACAGATCTAACCATAGCAACATATTAAACATAAACCTGATCACAGCTAGCCAAAACTTGAGTGTTAAATTGATAACTTTATTACTTCAGACATCTTTTAGACAAATTTATTTATACCTGATAAGTTTGACATTAGGATTTGTTCCAGTTTCTTTCTTAAAGTTATAATACCGTTCAACGATGATATTTTACCCTACAACTTAGTTTTCAGAAATTATCACCTAAATCATAAGTATATCCTCATTAATGATGAACTGCTATACAATTTTAATCTTATTTCGCCGAAACACTCGGATGCAACTGGATATAATATCGCCAGTTTTTGAAATCCCCGCCATTTGTAAAAGCTCTCGGGCCCGATCGGTTTCTTTCGGAATTAACTCATTTGCATACGGAAAAGTTCGGAAATGCTATAATTAGAAACAAGTTCGGAAACGCTATAATTAGAAACGTCAACAAACTTGTGACCCCGATATTAGGAGATATAATATAAATGAGGGATGCAATTTTATTTTATGTTTTGTAATTAATAAACGATATGAAAAGCTATTTATTAGCTAAAGAATGTAGCTTATATCCTCGTAACGCGTTACGAAACAATCGGAAAAAGAACAAAGTCTGAGACTCTCACTTGATCTACAGTAAACATGTCTATGTCGTACGGTTGCTGTGGTTATTTGAAATCGGTAAATTAGCCGTTCTTTATGATCGCTTCGTACCAGAAATAATACGTACCTATTGCCAAGCTTCCATCGTAGTAATATGGCATACAGTAGTGTGCGTCATGTAAATATTATGAAACACAGACACTTGGGCTTTGGTGCTCAATCTGTATTATATTATAGATGTTGAAATATGATTTTTTTTCAAAACGGCTTATATATATTAAGTTTTTATTTTATTTTAAAGGCGTTTTGAGCTCCAAACCCAAGTGTCTGTGTTAGGAAATTATAATGAAAAGAAATATAATTTGGCAATCTGGTGTAATAACCTGTATAGGGTGTTAC